AAAAAAAAAAAAGAAAGAAAGAAAGTAGACCAGTAAATTGTGGTTAAAAAATACTGATAACTAACTACTTAATTCCTAAAACAATTTCTAATACTGTCTCAGTTGACCATGAACAATAAAAATACTATGGAGGTGATCACAAATACAAGAGAGACTTGGCTTTTGAATGAATAACAATAACATACTAAGCAACTACGTGCCAAACACTTCTCATTTTCATTTCATCTTTACAACTGAGAAATATTTATTTCCATATGATCCATGAGAAAACACAGGTTGACAGGCATCAGAAAGTTTGTCCAGTGTTGTGTGTAAAGTAGAAAGAACAGTACTACCTGGCTCCCAATCAGCCTTTTCTCATTTACTCATGAACTTATTTACATGTCAAAGACTTATTTGCCAGGCACTCTACTGGGAACCAAGACCGCAAGAACAAACACAATCCTCAGAAACTTCAAATCCAATGGGAAAGAGAATCAAAACATCACAAATAAATGTAAGTAGTTCAAAGACCTCTGATAGATATGATCTCTAATTATCCTAGCTGAATTAAAATGAACTGTTATACTTTGGACTTCAGGTATCACAGAGCATACAAAATGAAGAGTTTTCAGATTTATCTTAAACATATCTCCATTGCCCACATCTGAAATTGCTCAATTCAGATGATTAGCAATTGACTGTACTCATCCAAGAGAAGACTCATGAATATACACATCATTTCAAATATTCCTTTAGTATTTAGATAGTATTTCTCGCTTACAAACCGTCAGGACATTTGTTTCATAGTGTTCGGAAAAATATCTTTTGACGGAAAGATAGCTTGGTTCACTAATGACCAAAAATTAAAATGAAAAGGAAAAATGAATTCAGAAGAAAAAGGATCAGGAACTGGAGAACCACAGACGTAGTAACTAAGTGAGGTCTTGGGTGCCTCAGAGTCCTCTAACTCATCAGTTAGCCCACGAGATGAGAGTGGAGGAATTATGAGAGCTATGAGATTCGGAATGAAGTGGCATGGAAACTCAGCGAAGTGTGTCCCAGCTTTCCAGCAGTGACCACACCATGTGTGCTGATGGAGGAACATTTTAAGCAGAAAACTCTACTGTGGTTCTGATTCAAGATTCTACCAAAATGACATGAAAAGCTAACAAGATAATAATTTAGTGCACTTCTACATTCCTTCTGAAACAACCTTCTGTACTCTCCCACATTTCCTGACACTCTGAAGTATCTCAGGAAGGGAACAATAAGCCAAAATGGAATGACTAGCATCTTTTCAATGTTCAGCTTACACAGACCCCTGACCAAGACAGTAACTTCCATGTGCTGGTTCCTTCATCTCTGCCACATCCACACAAGCAATGAACCCCTGAAGCAAGAGATGAGTGGTCGGCAAAAAACATGCCAGAAATACAAGAAATACTGTGGTAACTTACTTCACTTACAAGGAAAAACAGAAAAAAAAAAAAATTGCCTCTTAGCCACGGAGGGTACCTATAGATCAGAGCCAGTGACTTTGTGTCTTTACCAGCAAAAAGGGCAGCTGCACACAAGATCCATGAACACAGGTATGTGCCAGGCCTAGTCAGCCATCCATCAAGCAGGAGGAACCTGAGCCAGAGCTGGTCATCTATGAGTATAGCTTCCTGCTCACATTTTATTAGCTAAATTGTAAAGAAAGTTTAAGTTAAAGACCCAGCAATAGAAAATCAGCATTCTCAACTCCAACACTGAATCTTCTCTTCAAGTCTGAAACAGTAGGCTTTCATGGACTCCACATGTATATGACCAGAAAGTGCTAGTGTCTGGTTTCTCTGGACTAGAGAAAGGATAAATTTTTTAGAGAGAGAATGCAAAGGAAGAGCAAACGGTGCAAAAGATATCTTTTTTACCTTTTAGCAGTACTCAGGATTGAACCCAGGGGAACTTTTGTTCTGAGCTACATCCCCAGCCCATTTTTATTTTGAAACAGTGTCTTCTTGCTAAGTTGGGGAGGCTGGACTTGAATTTGCAATCCGCATGCCTCAGCTTCCTGAGTAGCTGGGGAAAGATGTTTCTAAATAGAGTAAATAAGATAAGTTCCAGAATCAACGTTTCACGGTATGGGAAAAAGTGGGAAGCTGCCTCAAACCTCCAAATGCAATGTTCAAATAAAAAGGATCGTAATGGGAAGAGAACCCTCACATGAATGGAAAAATAGATCTGAAGACAACAATAAATGTCAACCTAAATTATTCCTCTTTAATTCATCTCCTTAGTTTACAATCCCCAAATTTAACCTATAAGAATACAGATTATATACCTCAGGAATATTTTAAGTGTCTAGAATTCACCATGTTAAGCCTTAGTTTAAAACCTTCTGCTAGACTCAGGGGCTTTCTCTGACTAAAGCTGATCATGCAAAGGTCATATCATACAACTAAGAGCTTACAAATCATTTCTCCTTTGTATCAATATATAGTAAATTTCTTCCCTTACCTATGAGGATTTTTCACATTTTTCTTTATTGTATATTTTCACCCATCCCCACAAATACACAAAACTTAATGTCACTTCAATTTCTTTTCCAAAACCTATCAGCAGGAAAAAAAGGAGAAGAAGCAATAAGAAGCAACTAACATAATTCAAAATCGCTGAAAATCTGCTTGAGTAAAATTCAACTAGTCCTAAATCTGCCTATTCTGACTGGCTCCCTAAGTTTACCATGGAGAGAACCATCTGCCTGAGCCTTCTCTGTGAGCAGGAGGCACAAAAAATATAGCTTTCCCTGGGTAGGAAAGACTAGTGTTGGCCGTCAAGCCATGGGCACCCAATGTGACCTTGTTAACACCTCTGCCTTCTCCAGCACCCACTATCCTTTCACTTCTCTTCTATAGAATTCACCAGTCACACAGCAAAATACATATGCACACAACAAACATTATCTTATTTAAAATGAACATACAATAATAAGCACACAGAATACATGGAACCTCAACTTCTAACACAAATGTCAATGCATACAGTTTTCTGGTAATTGTGAAGAAATCTTCCTAAACTCCAAAAGGAAGAAGGATTTGCTTCCTTCTGAACAACACAGTACAAACTGATGTGACAATCTTTCACTTTTTAAAAAGCCATTTTAAGGTGAAACTGTTGCCACCATAATCCACAACTATCTCCTGCCTATGTCAGATTTCAGAAAAAGATGACAAGAACTGTAATTTGCTCTGGCAAACAGGCTCTCAATCAAAACAGGTTCCACCCACCTTCAAAGCAACCAATAGCTACCCACCTACCACCATTCCTAAAACATCCAAACAGAACTGCTCTCTGGCCCAGGCGATCCGGGCCAGCCACAGGCGCAGCAAGGCGGGGGGCCTGCAGGCTTGCTCTGCAGGGCTTGAAGAGAGACAGCTCGGCAACAAGCACCCAGCGCGCCTCGGGTTAAAACCATGCCAAGGGAGGAAGAGGTGAGGAGAAAGAGGGGAGGACAGGGACAGAGGGACCCGAGAAGCTTCACATTCCTCATCTGCTTAATGCAGCCCTGGGTAGAACCCTTTCCCGCTGTTCCATGTCGCAGCACCACCTCCACGGCCAGCTGGGCTAACCAAAGGCTCCGGGAACAGGACTCTGAAGGATGAATGACTCAGAGACATCTCCAGAAGTGAGAAGGAGCAGCCAACCATCACCCGGCCAGGGAGGCCAGAGGAAGGGAGCCTACCTGCAGGGGCCGAAGGGATCCTCCATGACTAACAGAGCCCCGGGTGAGTCTAGCTGATCCCTGCACCTCTCTTACCGCTAAAACTCTGCCCTTTTCTACTCTAACTGCTCAAAATGGAGGCACATGCAGTCTGAGAGACCTCACAGAGCTTTCACTGAGCTTGTGCTATGACCTAAGCCTCCACGCAGAACGCAGAAACTTCCCCTCACACTGACAGGACTGAGCATGTGCTGTGACCCTCCCTCATCCACACACTGTCTCTGCACGACGCAATCAATCTCAACCCTGCTGTTTCCGTAAATAAAGCCCAGCCAACAGACGCAGCAGCTTCTCCCTGCACACCAAGCTAGTGTGCAGGGAAGTGGGGCCTCAGGAAGGGGATCTGAGACAGCCAACGCCACAAGCTCGGCAAGCCCTGCCAGGTGGAGGCTTCAGTCCATGCCTGCGCCTCCAGACAACAGCAAGTTCTGTTTTGTCTATTTTTTTTTTTAAAGGAAATGGTGGTCTTAAATAGCAAGATTTCCAAGAAAGAATAGAAACAAAGGACATAAACAACTATGTGTAAGAGTAATTAGCAGAAATATTCCAGCACATTTAAAATCATAGTAGTAGCTACTTAAGAAAACCAACTCCATACATCTCTCTTTGAAAATCTTCAACATTTGGAAAACAAATACACCACTGTAAACCTATGGAGTGCATGGTACTGTCACATAGAAACAGACACAGTGTCTGGAGGGCATGACAAGAAGGGTAACTCCCAGTGACTCTGGAGGCCAAGACAGGATTACAAATTTGAAGTCAGCCTCAACAACTTACTGAAGCAAAAAAAAAAAAAAACCCAAAACTGTACTGTATGCAAAGATTTAGATCTTCCTTAAAGAAGCTAAAAACTCTCTCAATACTAAATTAAAAGGTTCCCTAAAGTAACACTAGCCCAATCCAATATGGTTTGAAGACTGGCTTTCTCACAGTAAGAAGAGCAAGGAAAATTCAAGTTAAGAGTTCAAAGAACACCATGCCACAAACACCTGAGCACCCCCAAACCATATGTGAGGATTGGGCTGGGGATGTAGCTTAGTGGTAGAGCACCTGCCTAGCACACATGAGGTCTGTGTTCAATTCCCTACACCACAAAATAAATAAATAAATTCATTAAGGTCTTTTCAGAAAGATTTCTAAATCCATAAGGTCATCCCCTCTTAATGTAGTGAGCATTAGGAAAGCACTCTCACTGTCTACACCAACAGTAGAGACATTTTTCTATTAATACTCAGTTTAATTAAAAACACAGTGTATGCCCTCTCTCCCAATTTCCACCTCCCAATGTCCACCTTATAAAGAAACTCTATAGATAGACTTAGTTTCCACTTGCAACCTCAGAAATAATTTTATGTATTACTTAGTTAAAATTAAGAAAGAAAAAAAATAAAAGGAAGACCAATCTCCCCAGAAACCATAAAGAACAAGATAGGATGGCAAGGCAGTGTGAATTCTGTTTCCCAGAAATGTGAAGAAAAGTCAGCACCACAGAATCAAGTCCATGCCCACAGTCTCCTATCCATGCTCTGAACTAAGACCATGAGTCAATAAATCTTACCGTGCTCCAAACATGACTTGTAAAGTACAAGTCATGCCAAATACACTTAAATAAGTTTTCCTTTTGACCCAATGCATGAAATAGGTTCTCCTCGTTGGTTTGTGAAACATGTCTACAGAGCGGGTTTAATAAGGAATAATCTAAAGAAAATTACTTTCTGAAAACAAAAGTAAAGGAATTAGAATCTGGCAGCCAAGTAATATGAATATGACCAGAAAAGAATTCCTCTCAGAAGGATCCATTAAAATAAAACAAAACAAAAAAGCCCTATCAAACCTTTTCACACAGAAAATGTTCATTGGGAGAAATCACCAGAAACTAATAATTTAATATATTCATCACTACTCCGAGAAACCATGGGAACGATTACGTAAAGCACAGTAGAAAGTTACTTTACAGCAAGTCAAGCAAATTACATTTTCAAAATTGTATATTCCATCTCAATAGATACCTAGGAAACACCACAGGCACTTCATCAGAACCTCTGTTACACTGGGTCCCAGGAGTAACAGCCACTTAACATCAACATCCTCTTCACTGTCTTTCCTTACACAGGCATCTCACAGGTATTCTTTACAGGCCACCAAAACAGAGGCTCCTTTTTCCTGTCACCAGTGGCTCTCCAGACCTCCTCTCCTTCACATCCTGTCTCCCACAATTCCAACCACAGACGGGGAGCTCTTCTCAGGCAAAAACAATGTATATCTCATCTGTTTAGAGCCACCCAACAATTTTATTTTGTATCTCAACAAATACACTTGAAACACAAAATCAAAACCACCATTTTTTGGCAAAAAAACTAATCATGAGGAAAACATCAAACAAACTCAAATTAAAGATCATTTGGTAAAACTGGCTCCTACTCTTCAGAAAAGCCAATGTCATGAAAAATATAGAAAGGTAAGGAAACATCAGGAGAATAAAGACAGGCAAAGGCCAGTAAAGAGACACAGCAATGAAAAGGTGATGCAGGAAGGATCACGGGGGAGGGGGGGATTACTAAGAAGACCATTACTGGAAAAACTTGCAAAGTCTGAATATGGACCATGTGGTACTCCAGCAATGTTAACTTTCCTGATTTTAAGAACATTCTTCTTCTTGGAAATATATACTGAAGCATTTGGAGAAGAGAAGGCTGCTGTCTGAAGCTCACTCACAGATCATTCAGGAAAGAATAATAGTGTGTCAGCAGGGCACAGTGGTGCATGTTGTAGTCCCAGCTACTTTTGAGAGGCTGAGACGGGAGGATCACTCATACCAGAAGACAGTGCCAGCCTGGGCAATGTAGCAAGACCCCATCTCCAAACAACAACCAAAGGAAAATACTATAGAAAGTGATGAAGCAAAGATGGCAAACACAAAGATGAATATGGCAAGAAAAGATATCATAAAGTAAATGTGTAATGAAGTTGAAAAGGTAGTGACAAAAAATATATAAGAAAAAAGGAAATAGGACAAAATGTTAACAAGTGGAGAGTGGGTAAAAGATATATTCTATTCATAACTCTTCTTTATGTATACAAGATTCCAAATTCAAAATTTAAGTATATCTAAAGCAAACTAAAAAATACCTTTACAGGCCCTACACATCCGTATCTCATGGCCTCTGATGCACAAAAACACTGGGCAATGAGTGACTTGCCTAGCTACTTTTTGCCCATGGTGCTCTGGTTCCCAAGTTGAAGCCACCTAACACACAGCTACCATGCAGTCCAAACTCAGAATACAACGACAGCTGTCCTCCTCAGAGAATCTCAAGGAGCCCTAAAGTTAGTGATCAGGAATCAAATACACCACTGTGTCCCTTTTATTCTTAAGTTCCAATTCTAGAAATGGGGCTATGCTTCCTCTAACCAAGCCTTACTTTACACAGAATGCATCTCACACCCAAGGCCTCGGGAATGCCAAGCAAGTGCTCTATCATTGAGCTGCATCCCTAGGCCCCTACTGATACTCTGGAACATTAGATGTCTGGTTCCTGATGCTGACTACACTCTGGACCTCATTCCCGTACTGTTGTTCCTAATCATCATCCGCCTGCCCACAGGGACATGCATATATGCATCCAGGCTGTCCCCAAGTGTTTCTGTATGTGGCCTATTTCTGGAGTCTTCCCAGAAGTCATGTGAACCCAGATGCATCTATACCACTTCTGAATCCCACACATCCCTCCTTCCTCCCATTGACCCCACTGAACAACAGGTGAAGGATGCATGCTTCTGAACAGAAGGGATGGGAACAACTAAGTAAGATGAATACACTGCACAGATGGGTTCTTTCTACAACTAAAAACATTTACACTATAAAAACTGATGGAAACATCACTTGTCCACCATAAAGGGACCTTTTCCCAGGAATAGAAGACACACGTGCGGGGGGAGGGGGGGGTTGTCAGGAGTATAGGAAAAAGGCACTGGCCCATGGTGGAGTACTAGACCTGAGGAGATGAGAAGGTAGGAAAAAGGACAGATGAGTTCAGCAAAATCAAAGTGCTAACAAAGGTAAGATCATTTGCTATAAAAACTCCAAACCTATTTTTCTTTCAATTTTGGTTCCGATTTTTCATTAAAAACTCCAAATATAAAAATTATATTATTTCACATTATCTTGTTTATATACTCAGTAAATATTGTTAGGTAGGTTTCACTATGGTCAATGAAGAAACTTAGCAAATGTTGCATATTTTGCAAGGGATTCTAGAATCAATATTCCAGACAGACTTGAGAATCCACGGTACTCAGACTTCCTTGTGAGCATTATCAACCAGAGAGTCAATGGTCTACCAAAGGTTTTTCAGAATTCAAAATTTTTTAGACTTTTACTTTTATGTGACTATATGACACAGTATATAACACCCCAGGAATGTCTAAGCAATAACCAATATACTGTCATATTTATATTTTTACCACAAAATTGGTGCACATTCACACGAGGTATGCTAAATTAAAAAGAGAAATAGCTTCAAATAATTTCAGGCCAGGTTTGGTCACCAAATGAGTTGGGTGCTATATTTAGTATACAAAGTTTTAGATTTTCAGAGCTTTCAGATTTCAGAATGAAGAAATCATGGATAAGTATTATCATAGGTCCTCTATTATATTAATGATTAGCATTCTAAAGTAAAAATGAAATATAAATTTATACTTAATAATACTAAAGTAATTTTATGCCACTTATCAAGAAATCCACTATCCCCAAATTTTAAAGGCATAAACCACAATCACAGAGCAAAGGTTGGTTTGAATCACACTATAGACATTAGTTCAACTAAGTAGTAATACAATCAGGATCAAAGTTCAGAAAGACCAGGTCCTGACAAGACACATCATTCAGGAATATAAAGACCAGATTAGAGGAGAAATAAAAGGGGAACTGAACTCTTGAGATTTTAAAAGGATCTATGAAAATGAATGTGAAAAAAATTCAAAATTTTAGTGCTAATATACTAAATTACAGAAAAATACATACATTAACTTTTAACTAGTATCTGAAAGTTTGTTCTGAGAAATAATTCCATCTTAAAGTTCAGTTTCAACTGCTCACTTAGTGTTAAACTCCTGCATTATTAAAAGGGAAGGTAGCAGTCATCACTTCACAGTCACAGAATTCTTAGCCCTCAACTTCCAGTGGTCTTACTAACACATGTGCCATCTCAGAGGAGCATTCCACAGTAAAATAAATACATACATACATACATACACACACACACCTTGACATTTCCTTTCCACATGAACTTCCACTTACCTAAATGGCACAGGGTGTCAAGGACTGGCACATAGCACTATGTAGCCAGGACTGCAACCCTAGTCCCACTCATTAAAGTGAGGAGGAAACTGCATCAGAAACCAGTTCATCACACAGCTTCATCCCTCACAAACTTGAAACCAAGTCAGAAGCAGGCAATTCCTACAAGAATACACACACATTTATCGACAGCTGTTCAAAAGATCACAAGAGTGTGTGTGACTTAACAAAGTATGAAAAGACTTTCTGCATTTCCTCCATCTGATTTATGTACAGCCCGATTCTTAGAATGCCCAGGGTGTGTATTCTTGCTAGGTTCCTGGGAGTGGCCTTGAACTTGCAATCTTCCAACCGCAGAGTCCCAACTGTCCAGATTAAAGACATGCACCAACCATGCCAGCACTGTACCAAATTTCTATAAGGGCCTTGACTCTTGAACTGTGAGAAGTTTGATGTGCCTCAAACTTTATTTGTAAGTAAACATTCAAATATTTGCTGAATGTAACATCTCTCAAGCACTTAAAATATACATAGCACAAGCGCAACGTAGAGAATACAAGTGTAGAACTGAACAAACAGCAACTACAAATTTCAAAATATTATGATTCAGGATGCAGACCTTATAAAAGTGCATCATTATGTTCTTTTTTTGTATACAGAGACAAACAATATGCTTCTACTGCATACTTAATCCACATTTTCAAAATTGAGGGATAGAAATACAGCCCAGTAATAGAGCACCTGGTTAGCATGCAGAAGGCCCTGGGTTTGACCCCCAGCACTCTTCAGTGTCACCCCATATAAACACTACCTGATGAGAAATATCACCCTGAAAGACTGCAAGCAACACACAATGAAAAAAAAGAGAGAGAGAGAGACATCTGTGTACCTCTCTAGCTTACAGAGAAAAGTTACATAGTGCTTTTAGTAAGCATTCAAGGAAAAGGGCTAGGGATGTACTCAGTGGTCAAGTATCTCAATTCCCAGTATAAAACAAAACAAAACAGATGTACAACTTAAACTAGTAAAAAAAAAATAAATTTGATTGTTATGAATTTTAGAGCTGAATATTTAAAAGAAAAAAAACTATTTTAGTTAATTGCTGATGCACTCTTAACTTGTACAACATATTTATCACAGTTAAATAAGTATGGAATCACTAAAATAATGACCAAGTCAGGCACAGTGGCATATCCCTTATCCTACCAACTAAAGCAAGGGGATCACAAGTTGGAGACCTGCCTGAGCAACTCAGCAAGATCCCGTCTCAAAACAAAAATAAAAGGACTAGGGAAGTAGCTCAATTGAACCCTAGTAAAAGGCTCCAGCACCAAAATAATAACAATAACAAACTGCACCGACAACAACATGACAAGCACCAACTCATTTGTCTCTATACAGAAACTCGCCTGGGCAACAGAATGACATGACAATTCACATATAAAATAAACATTTCGGGGTTGGGGCTATAGCTCAGTTGGTAGAGTGCTCACCTTGCATGAACAAGGCCCTGGGTTCAATCCTCAGCAACACACACACACACACACACACACACATAATAATAATTTAAAAAAACATTTCAAAATTTAAAAAGAAACTTCTGAAATATTTCCATCAACCAGTTTTTTTTTTTTAAATCATTAGAATGTGGCCTTCTTTTGAAAACAAAAAGCTCAAGCTTCACTGTATTATAAAGAAAAAAATAAGTATTCTTAAGAGGTAAGCAAAAATAGATGAGCATAATCTTCCTACTCTCACAGCTGCTGTCTAAGACAAAGAGGAAGAGACAGAAAACCAGTGTATACTATGCCCCAATGATGCTCTGTGAAACCTTGTGCAATCACAATGACACATGCTCCCTTTAATCAACTCTTCAGTAACTGTCCTAAGAATACTCTAAATTTTGTATATCATTTCTCAACATCTTCTAGAAAAAGTTTTCACTAAAATAATATTTGTTTTGCAATTATATCCAATGGATAATAAAGTAAAATTCCTTAAGCCAAGCTAAATCTTTTATTTCTTTCTAAATCTTCACATTTGTAAACAGGTCTTGGGTATCCAGAGCATGAATTATTTGACCACCTGCTAATAACCCTCCACCTTTCCCCAACCCAATTCCCAGTACTGGGAATTGAACCCATAGCCTCCTACTTGCTAGGCAAGTGCTCTAACATTGAGCTACACATTCAGACCCTTTGTTATTTATTTTGAGATATGATCTTGCTGAATTGCTCAGGCTAGACTCTTATTTGCCATCTTCTTGCCTCACGGGGTGCATAATCAAGCCCAGCTCTTTAAAAAAAAAAAAAAAACTTAATAAATCATATAGTCACATGATTTTTCCAGGGCACATGTATAAACACAGTCTTATGCTATGTGAAGAGTATTACAGACATAAACCAAAAATTCTTTTTGTGAAATTATTTTGACCCTATTGCTTTTTATTTAACAAGTCATAATTCTTTTACATAGAGCTTAACAAAATAGTTGAGAACAGGAAGTTTCTGTTTTGTAAGAGTAGTCTCACCAAAGATACTTACTTCAGTGAGTGTTCCTGGGATTTTTATTATCAAGAATGAACAAAACAAATGAGTTACCAACAAACAAAACAAATGAGTTAACACACATGCCAGGCAAGTGTGTTACCGCTGAGCCATAGCCCCAGCCCTCAACTACATTTTTTAATCCCACCCAGGTAACACCCAAATTTTCCCATCTTCCCTTTCCTTAATAAAACTAAAGAAAAAGCAACAAGCTGATTTAGGTGCCAAAGACATTAAATACTAAATACATAGTTTACATTCAGGTGTATAAACACACACATGCATGTTCTCTCTCTCTCTCTCTCTCTCTCTCTCTCTCTCTCTCTCTCTCTCTCTCTCTCTCTCTCTCTCACACACACACACACACACACACACAAGTGAGAAAAGGAAAAAAGTTCTCACTGAGTGGACACAAGTGACTCACTTACCTTGTCTCAGGGTTGTAGCCTAATATGTAGAAAAATGAGTCCACTCGGGCTTTAAACTCTCTAGCAGCAAATATGTCAGAAAAATGGGAGATGTTACACTTCCCTCTGGGGGGGAAAAAACAAAAAATACATTAGTAATACCCTCTTTTTTTTTTTTGGTACCGGGGATTGAACTCCGGGACACTCAACCTGCGCCACATCCCCAGCCCTATTTTGTATTTTATTTAGAGACAGGGTCTCACTGAGTTGCTTGGTGCCTCATTAAATAGCTGAAGCTGGCTTTGAACTCAAAATCCTCCTGCCTCAGCCTCCCAAGTGGCTGAGATTGAGAAGCCATCGAGCCCAACTCCTCAATTGCCTTGCAAATCAAAATACTACTGGAGAAACAGAGAAGAAAGCAAATGACTAAATTCATGGTACCTGTTGAATAAGGTTATAAATTCCATATTTTTCTTATTTCAAGACTTCTTCAATATACAACTTTTAAACTCAGGTGTTTTTGTTTCATCATTTGGGCAATAAAGTCAAAATTAATAAACTGAAGACAGGACTGTGATAAAGGAATATTAAGCAAATTAGAAACGAATGGGGGAGGATTAAGACCATAGGGAAAAACGGGCCTTTTCTTAATGCTACATATTAAACTGTTAAAGCTAAAATGCATATCAGACATTCCTTTGCAATATAGCTTCAGGCCAGTATTTTTCTTCTTCTTTAACATGCAAGAAATAAACTTACTTAGAAATTAAAACATAAATTTGAACTTTTTTACATAAAGATGGGCTCTAATATGTAAACAGTTCCCCTCAAATGTTCAGGTAAAGTTAACTGACTCTAGGTTGGAAATCACTATCCCACAGAAATATTTCAATAAACAGCAGTAAGCTTTCTAGTTTCAACTGACAAAAAAAGTCAAACCACCTTGTAGCTAAAAACTATAATACGACAGAATAGTTTAAGTATGTTTTAGGTACCAAGAACCCAACACAAAGATACTAGAAACATTAAACCATGCAGCAGGCCCAGCCTTTCACTAACAGACAGACACACATCTCTCTCTCTCTCTCTCTCTCTCTCTCTCTCTCTCTCTCTCTCTCACACACACACACACACACACACACACACACACACACACACACACACACACACAATATAAAGGTTTCCAAGGAGGCAGATGATTGAAAGAACTTGAACTCACTTGGTGGTCACAGAAGGTAACTTTAATGTCAAGTGGAAGCCAAAGCCTATGATGCAATTAGATGGAAATCAGAGGATCAAAAAACCCTGTTTCACAACCACAACATCTAAAGCAAGCCTCCAGGATTTCCCATCCTGTCCCCACCCCTCATGCTCACCCCAACCCTCAACCCCAGCAGGCTGTCTACAGAGTCTAGAATCCACTCCATATGCACCTTAACAAAGGATTCAACAGCTAGGGAGAAAAAGTGGCAGAGGGATACCAGAGGGGATACCTTCATTTCCTACAAAGAAATTTTAAAACTCTTCCTTTCCCCAAGGACTTAATTATGACCAAAGCCTCAGTAATGAACAGAGGCTAAGAATGGCTCAAACCACCTCCATTTTTTAAATTAAATAATGACATTGTTGGCTTATTAAAGTTCCTTTAACTACAGAGAAGAAAACAATTCAGGGTGACTAGGCACTTAGAATTTGATAAAATTTAGAGGAAATGAATTTTAAATTTTACTTAATCTTAATCAATATAAATTTAAATAGCCACGCATAGCTGGTGCTCCTACTGAACAGCACAGATTTATACAACATTTCCGTCACCCAGGAATTTTTACTGGAAGCACTATAACATTCCTACTGTAAGTAGATATCAAGAGTCAATTCAAAGAATACACAAAGCAGATGTCAGCTTTCCAGGCCCAGAACCTAACCTCTGATTTTTAAATAAAGCTAACATAAGCTTCTGGAAAAGCAGCAGCAAGTAACGTTACTGAGCTGGAATAGTGAGCTCACCCTGAGACCACCTACCCATCCATCAAAAGTGATTTAGACACTGAAGCTTAGAGGAGGCAAATAAGGTCCTTTCTCGGTTAAACAGGATAATGACACCTATTATACCTACCTTGAACAATACTAAGACAATCACAGAGAGAAAGTCTATGAGCCCAGTGGTACATGCCTGTAACCCCAGCTCTGGAAGCTGAGGCAGGAGGAGGGTGAGTTCAAGGCCAGCCTCACCAATGGCAAGGCACTAAGCAATTCAGTGAAACCCTGTCTCTAAATTAAATACAAAATAGGGCTGGGGATTTGGTTCAGTGGTCAAGTGCCCCAAGTTCAATCCCCAGTACTCCCCCACAAAAAAAGAAAGTCTATGAAACTCTACATACTACAATGCTAGGAAGAATAAGTTATTATTACCATCACTGTTCAATATCAAAGAAAACAATTCTTATTTTATTATTCTTTTGATTTTTCACCTGGAGTAATTAATTAAACGAATAAGAATCCCAGCAACATATAATTCTAAGCATAGGTACTACAAATCAAACATGTTTAGGGCAGAGTTTATCAATTTCAGTGTTGCTGACTAATACTGTCAGGGGCACTCCCATTAATATTAGGACATTTAGCTACATCCCTGGGTCCCTCACCTAGCAGCATAATCACATACATTTTTTTTTTAATTGTAGGTGGGCACAATACCTTTATTTTCTTTATTTTTATGTGGTGTTGAGGATCGAATCACACATGGCAGGCAAGCGCTCCACCACTGAACCACAACCCTAGCCCCTCACATACATATTTTAACAATCAAAAATGTCTCAAGACATTGTCAAATGTTTCCTGGGGAGGGCAAAATAACTAGCTAGGAAAAGTCAAACATTAGGAGTTGAAGCATGTCATCTGATAAATGGCTATGAAACTGCAACCAATGGGGTTCTTCTCTACCATTATGTCCTCTATTTGCTTACTGTTTGTGTCTTGAAAGTTTCTGCTCTTTGTATGTTTGTTTTATATCCTGCAACTCAACTGAATTCTTTCATTATTATATTACATAGGTTTATTTTGATTTTGGTTTTGGTTTTTGGTTGGTTTGTTTTGTTTTGTTTCTGAGACAGGGTCTCGCTATATTGCTCGAGCAGGTGTAGATTTGCGAGCTTAAGTGATTCTTCCTTCTCAGCTGCCACACTAGGTTCACAGATTCACCATTCATTCTTTAAGTCTTTCCAAGTATGCTATTTGCAAAGAAACACAGTTTTACTTCTTCTTTACCTTTCTTATGCTTCTAACTGCACTATACCTCTGGTACAATACAGAAAGTAATAAAAAGAGTAAACACTGTTATTTAGTTTCTGATCTCACTGGAAATCTCTTACGTGTTCCCATTAATTATGATACTAGCTTTAATCATATCAAAATCCTAGCTTTGGAGAAAATCATATGATTTCTTCCCTAAGATATATTCTTATGGCATAGGATATTCAGAGTCTGTGACACTGAACCAATATGCTTTCTTTGAAAAAATTCCAGTTGTTCATATATGTATTTTTAAATGAGACATTAGAATTTTTAAAAACAGGATTTGATTAATTACCTCTAATGCCATTTCCCCTTTAATTTCTCCTTTTATCTTTATTCCCCTTATTGTACTTTTCTCTTACTGCTGTTATTTAGAACAGCTTTATACACAGTACCTGAAAAAGAACTCAAATGTCCATCCACATGAAAATAAAAACAAATGGTGGGTTGGGAAGTAACTCAGTGGTAAAGTGCCTGCTTCATATCACCTTTTCTGGAGAGCAATGCAAACATTTAGAAATACGTGCATAGGTGTGCATGTAGTATAGGTACCATTTTAAACTTTGCATTTTGTTTTTCACTCCTGAGTCCTCTTCTCTATCAAAAGCAGGATATAACTTAAATGTTGTTTCATGGAATGGATACGGTGGGACTATTAAAAGAAAACTGCCCCCCCCCCACCTTGCTGAAACATCTGTCCCAGAGCTTATAAGGTTCTGCCTTCTCCCCACCTAAAGCAATGCTTCACTGTCAACAGCAACATAACTAAAGACAGGGAAGCCCTTCATCCCAGTACCCTGACATTCACCAGTACAGAAGGTGCCCTAGGTACTGTGCTATTGGAGGAGTCCTCTGGCAGGCAGAGCGGGCCATGTGACAATGAAGGACACGAAGATAATTTTACCATGTAAGGAGGCAATGCAAATGGGAACAATGACCTAGATATTCATTCCCACAAGCCACCAATAACTAAGAGTTTTCACAGGCAAACCCCCAAAAAACTTGTGAAGAACATGCCAGCATACACAGAATGCTCATGGTAGAGTTATTTCTGTACTCTTACCTGACCATGAAAACAAATAAGGAAAAATACTGAGGAAATCACTATCTTGTCTAGATATCCTGAGCCACTGGGATTAGAAACAGGTACAGAAATTTTTAAAAAATTTACTTCCTCAGTTTTGCATTCTTCCTTGTAATCCTCCTGTGGGGTACTTTTTTCAGAATCCCATCTTGATTTATATTTACTGTTTTTGATCACATACTTGGCATAGTTTTCCTAAAGCTTGCTCTAAGTGTAACAATATATACACATAACTTGTAACATCCACTAGTATCCATTCTTATCAGTTCTAGTAAAGTGTAGAAATCTTTCACTTAGGTCCCTTCTGTCTTCTCACTTTTCAAATATAATTGACTTACGCATCTGCTTTACACACATTCAGCAAAAAAACACTGCATTGTTTTGACTCCATTGTTGTTTTTATAATTTAATCTTGGAATTTCATTCATTTAAAATTATTTTCAATTTTTTTAATGTGTTTTTGATGTAAATAATTTCCCTCTGATCACCACTGTAAATGAATACTGAGAATCTGAAATACAACACTAAGTTTTTTAACTTCCTTAATTTCAACTTGTATTTCCTCTTACACCCAGGAGCTACTGAAAAATTTCCAGGTGAAACAGTCTTGCTCATAGTAAATAAACTATAGGCTTATTGCATTATTACCAGATATTTTCTCTATTGTACTGCAGAAAAAAGAATGTACATTGTCTATTATTAAGGATTAATATATTAATGTATGTCTGAGATTAAGTGCTTAGGAAGA